AGATTTTCAGTACAAATCGGCAATTTCATACTTTAACCCCTATTATTTATAGATATGAACGTTTCGCACAATACAACTCGTCAAATTAAAGCATCTTTCGCGTCTTTAGAAAATATGGTAAACGAGGTGCAGGTTAATTTGATCGAGTTGTAGTCGCTCGCTTCACTCGCTCCATTGACTTACAAATAAATGGACGACGGGTCTAATACAAAAACCACGAAAAAAATGTCCCAAGTCAACCTATTCGAAATTTAAATTGTAATGTCATCGCAGTATCGCGCTGTCCGTAGAACAAATGAAGACTAAAGCGGAGTGTCGCGCTCTTTATACGATTTTAGCGCCTTAGAAGTGCGGACACTTTTTAGCGCGGACCCGACGTCCATATAATTGTAAGTCAATGACTCGCTCGGATCGGGCCGCTTTTTAATATACTAACCTAACCTAAATCCACAGGAGGGGGTCGTACCGTAATGCTAACAAAGTCGGCTCAGGCACTCGCCGGCCGCTGCTCGTGCGGCTTTTTCATATACTAACCTAACTTGAACCTACGAGAGGGGGTCGTACCATCTAGGTAATGCAAACAAATTCGGCTCTGGCACACGCCGGCCGCTGCCGAACTTTAGTGAACGAAACTTACGTAAGTGGACTTGGTGTGCACCAGTAAAGCACAGTCCAGAATGTAAGCTGCATGGTAAAATTGTACAACGGTACAATTTGATGACCAAACAAACTTCTGCCCAAAGAATACGTATGTGTAATAATTATTCTAATAATAGGTTTTCGGACAAACGATACTTCTGTTGTAATTTTTTTTTAATTAATTTATTTCTGGCCATGGAAACAAAGTCCTTCAGCCGAAAACATAAAAAAAGTTTTTCTGTAAATATGGCCGCCACAAAGAGGATAGGCAATTTGAGGCGGCGTGCTTGGATTGACTCGGGATTCCTTAGAACGGGCCGATACGGGTGTTTTAGTTCGAGATTCGTATAATTTCGCGTTTTAATCTTCGATTAAGGCACAATAGCACTATCCTATTCCACTTTAAACTAGATTTCACAAAATAATTGAAAGTCAAAATAAAAACGACACTTTTCCCTCCAAAAGGTCCAGAGCGAATCCTTCTTCTGTTGTAAGACATTTCTGTGTTGCAAATTTATACCAAAAATGTCATCGCACTAACGAAAAAAAGTCGAACCGTTTTCAGAGTAATGAAGTTCGGAAAAAATAAATTCAAGTTTGAGATAGGTTACCAATGATGATGAGTCAGTTGTTGGTGTGTGTAAGTCACGATGTATGTGCAGATGGAATGGTGCTCACACCATGCGCAAGCGCCTCACATGTTCGCGCTGGAGGGCCGACCGCCTCTTCCGGCCGGTAGGTACCCTTGCTGCGGCGAGCGGGCCTACAAGTTTGAGACCATCTCCAGAAACACTGTAAGTTCAAGCTAACGCTTCTCTGGATTAGGTGCTAAACACCCTTGGTTTAATAAGGTCATAAAGCGAAGCGGAGTAAAACGTGTGCCGTTAGAACATCATTTTACAATGACGCGGATTGCGGATTGCGGATTGTGGATTTGCTCCGCTTCGTGTGAACTCCTCGCAAGTCACCCGTGCGTTCATTTTATGCGTTTGTCTTCCATGAATATCCGCAGTAAATGCAATGCTCTATTCGGAGCACTGCGGGTTCTACGTATGCGGATGGCCCGCAGGCGGATAGTCCGCGGACGGACCGTTCGCACAGCTGTGAAGCCAGCCTTAAATAGGAGCATTCTAAAATTTCACATAATACCTATACATAATTTGTTTCAAGTACCTAGTTCGTATAATTTTTATAACTTTCGTCTGTTAAAAACAATTTAATAACGTAGCAGTAGGATTTCTTGTGAAAGAGGTCATTCAGGGAAGTATGCCACTGTCACCTTACCTATTTCTGGCGCTAGTGGTGGAGTTTATATCTCAGAGTGCGGGGCGCAGTGGCATCAGATCTCTGAGTGGCACTGCAACTGTTATGGACAGGCAGCTTACCACCACGCGCACGACTTGTTCGTCCTGTCACTTGATATCATTAAAAAAATTAGACGTCTGATCACGTGAGGCATTATCATACCGAGGGTATGAAATGATATGTTGTAATGTCACCATCATCTCCAGGGCTGTCAGTTCCGCGAGCACGCGCCAGACGAGCGCCTGGCGGCGGACGCGGCCGTGATGGAGATGTACCTCAAGTTCCGGGACATCATCGGAATGCGCCCGCCACAGCTCATGTTCCCCGAAAGGCTCACCCGACTCGTCGCTAGAGGTACCTAGCTTTTGCCTTTTCACCGTATCTAAGAAGTTAGATGATTTTTTCAAGCACAAAGATCTGTGTAAATATTCACATGAGTCATTATGAATAACACATAAGGGTGTCAACTCATCAGTTCGTCGACCTCAATTATTTGCTAAATATTAATGGTTCTGCAAATAGGCCAATTTACCTAATGTGTAGAACATAATGTCTTCGGTGTTTTGCAGAAAAGGTGAAAGCGTCATTTCGAAAAATATTTCAGGGAGCATGTTTTAGATTTTAACGTCTGTTTTAAAATACTTACGTCTTGTTTTAAAATTCAATTTTGATTTTAATTAAGCTTAAAGTTTTAAAACTGAATTTAGAACAGGACGTGAATATTTTAAAACAGTTGTGAAAAACTAAAACATTATACTCCCTGATTTTTTTTCGAAATTCAAATGGTCAATGCTGCTTTCTGACGATATTATTATGATATTTTTCGTAACCGTTACAATAGGTACCGTCCGTGACGGCCTTCCTGCATTCAAAATGTCCGTCATTAAACTGCTCATTTTCTATTTTAAAATTCCTTTTTATTATTATTTTTTATTCATACGATCACACATTTATAGTTTTCTGAATGCACCTACAGTTGTAATTGGAACGCAGATTTACGGATTTTTTTTTCAAATAATATTCATTTTTCTGTAATTTGTACCATTACAATAAAAATCAGTAATCTTAGAAAGAGCGTTTAAAGTCCAGAAGAAGTGTATTCGAGCAATTGGCGGTGCGTGGTTCGATGACAGTTGCAAACCGCTGTTTAAAAGGCTGAACATATTAGCTTTGCCATGCATGTACATTAGGGATATCTGTGTATTTGTCAACTTTCATCCTCAATATTTTAAACCACGCGGTGAAGTCATTCAAAGGCAAACTAGAGCAAAAATTATGAATCTCTTATACCAACCTCGTTGCCATAAAGTAATTTATAATAATAACTACTTCAACATGTGTATAATTTTTACAATAAATTGCCAAACGAAATTAAATTGTTACAAGGACATACTTTTAAATTAAAATTGACAAAATGGCTTTTGACACATTGCTTTTGTAGTAATAAAGAATACTTAGAATTTACAAATTCATTACATTAATTAGAAAGTATAGAGATTAAAGAAACATTGAATCCCATTAATATTTGCACATCTGCTTGCAGGTTGAATACAATGTATCTAATTTTACTTAAGACCTTTGTAATTACTGTATTCTGGCAAATAGACGTATTCTATTATATTCTATTCTATTCTATCAAAATATAATAATCACGTCAGTATAATCAAAATCAATAATCAAATTCGTAGGGTCTATGGGCCGTCCGGGTGGCGTCGTGGTGAATGTTCACTGATCCCACGGCGCCGACTCAACCGGCGAGAGGGAAACCCGGGGGGGTTTTAGTGGGGTAGGCCCTCCAGGCTGGAGGGAGAGTCCCCACATAACCCCTGAGTCTCCCTGGGCTCAGAGGTATCCATTAAGATTTCCCCCCCGTCAAAAAAAAAAAAGGGTCTATGGGCCGTAAAAAAGTTGAAAATGATTTCAAAACACAGAGCCAGGCGAAGATAGTAACGGTCGTCTCCAGTGTAAAGAAGTGTTTTGGTGGGAAGGAATTCAGCTGCTGCCGCCTCGGCCTGCGTTGGGCATGCTCGGCAAGATCTACACCAGCAACGTTAAATTCAACCGTGAGATATTATATAGATTAACTTGTATCAAAGCCCTTGTTAGAAGTGTTCAAGAGTCTTACAATGCGGTTCCGTGCAACGGTGCTCTTCTAACATTTAGTGTTACGTCGATGCGAAAACATGCCAAGTAATAATAGTGAATTTACACTTATACCATCATTGAAAAATAATATTTTTGGGAAGCTCAATTGCATTGAAATGATAAAATGAATAAAAAAAAAACGAACAAAAGGCCTACCACTTAACTAAGTTGGTTCCTGTGGTAGCTGCGCGGTGCGGGGGGAGTGACAGTTTACGTGACAGTTATGTCGCGCTTCACACGGGATAAGTTGGACGAGATTTTTCTGACGATATCAATTTAGTAGCCGTAGAGTTCCTTGTGAAACAGTTTGTCCAAGGAAGTACTGCCACCTTACCTATTACTGTGTTCTGATTTTGAAGGGTAAGGGTGCTGGTGAAATTACCAGCACATGGGACTTGTCAACTTATGTCACAGGGTGACGAGCGCAGTGGCAGTGCCCCTCAGACCTTTGCGATTTAAAACTCTGAGTGGCACTGCAACTGTTATGGACAGGCGTGTCGCTTATCACTAGGCCCACGACTTGTTTGTCCCGTCACTTGGTATTATTAAAAAAAAGTTATCATCAGCCAAAGTGCGAATCCGTGCTGCCAAATCGGATCCAACACTTAGGGAATCACCACAACATCGGACGACGCGAAGTCAAACGCAATTTCGTGTCGTGCGACTTGTTCGTGCCGTCACTTAGTATTATAAAAAAACTAGTTGATTGAAAAAAGAGCCTACCAAATTAGAGAATTGTTGATACGTGAAACGGTAAAAAAAAACTATTTATTTGATAATTAAAATGAATAGACAAGTCATTTGGCGCTTTTTTAAATCAACTTGCTATTGAATATCGTCAGAAAAATCTTGATGAAATTATCCTGTGTGCAACGTGGCATTACTGTTACGTAAACTGTTAAGCGTGAAACACACTGACTGCGGGTGCGGGTCGGGCGCGTGTCGGGTCGGCACGATGTTCTACGCTTTACTCCCCATGCACCGCGCAGCTATCTCAGGAACCGACGCAGTTAAGAGGTATGCTTTAACCAAATATGGACTGTGAACTGGCAACCGGTATTACCTCAATTTTGACTATTGTACAGGTGAAGAAAAGAATTGTTTGCGTCTTTTAGATAGCATCTGGTTAGCAGTCAGTACAAGTTGAATGTATCTGAGATGGAATTTCTTGTAACGCTGCTGAGTATGAGGTATACAAAATGGTATAAAAAAGTGAAATCTTTAGAAAATTGGTATAGTATCCGTTGCCAGTTCACCGTCAATATGCGATTTGACTGCCGTTAAATATGACAAAATTCTATTTGATATACTTAATACTTAAGAGGGAGCATGCCAAAAAAGTTTTGACGTTGGCTCCGCCCAAATTTGTGAAACAAATATATACCTGAAGTTCGCGTGACACGCGACAGGAGATGTTAAATTTTGCACATTAAAAGTACCAAATTCGTTTTAGCGGAATAACAGTTGTCGATCATGCATAAATATAATTAATTATATAATTTTTGTCCTAATAACCTGTAGCATTTTGAGGATAAATCGAAAAAATGTGAAAATTAGATGTTATTTCGTGATTTTTATCTATCGAGGAAACTTTATTGTTTTATGTTTCTGATTAGTGTCTATGCTTGAATATATAGTTACTCATACAATATTTTCTTTTTAACTTTAAAGTGGATATACCCATCTAAAATCAAATCGAAGATTAGGAATTTTTCCTCTGCTCCCTCTTAAAAAATTTAAAAACTAATATTAGGTAATGTTCTTCGTACAAAATAGTTTTTTTTAAAATTAATTTCAAAGTTTCCCAGAAAAGTTGCTTTTCGAATTTGATCAATTTACTTAAGAGGGTACGTTTTCTGTTATGACAATTTCGATGTAAACCCCAATGCATGTAATCGCATTGAAGATCTTCGAAACATTACTTATCGACGATACCTTGCTGTATATACACTCGATTGGCAATATATGTAGCAGCCATGTGACTTCATGACGCTTAATTCCAAATTCTTAGCAAGTCATGTAAATACACAATGTTTCAGTGTTGTAGTAACTCTCACAGGCTTTTACAGAGACCTTGAACTGACTTTGAAAGTAACAAGCAAGATGCAGCTATCAAAAATAGAGTTTTAAAGAAAATTACCGAAAACGAGTCTGTAAAAGCTTATGACTGATAATGAAAAATCTACGAAATCTCATGTGTGTAGTTTTGAGAAGATGCTTACACGAACTTAAGAACAGGTGGCCGTGATTTGCCTCCATTTTGCTTGCGCCTTTTGTGCTCCACAATTATACCTTAATTAAAGGTACCTACGATCTTGTATAACATTCTGGTGTGCGAAAGCGTATTTAGGGTTACCATCCGTCTGGCGTGTCTGCATTTGACATTTGTCCGGATTTTTTGGCTCAGGGAGACAATTTTCAGAATATAAAATATCCATCTTGCGATTATGTAGACTCTTGCTGCGCTGTGTATTAGTAACTAACCAAAATAAAAGAAAAAGTCCATAATAGTCCCGCCACGCGGCTTCACCCCCATAACGCACGTTTACCGTACCAACAACAGAACGATTCCATGATCTGTTTATATGAGTTTGAATGCGGAATAGTAATAGTCATATAAAAACATTTTGTAATAAAATTTAAGAAATCTCGATTTTATTTTGACTTTTTGTTCGGACTAATCAAATTTCCGAATGGTAACCCTAATCGTATTGGTTAAACAACTCGATTTAACTTATAATTTACGTATTGAATCTACCAAGGATTCGTGACCACTTCTCGAAGATCCAGCCCCGATGACGTACCTACTTATGACAGCATTTATTGGCGGTTACTAAGTCGAACGTTGAACGTCGTCTACGTTGGGTTTTAACTAATTCACATAGCGAGTGCACGGCCCGGGTCGCCGACGCTACAGCCGGCCCTGCGGACCTCGACGCAGTCGCTGGCCGGCAACTGTCCTCTGGCCACCATGCACACCTCGGAGGTGTCCACCCTGCCGCATCCCAAAACCCAGAGCAGCGAAAGTTCTAGCAAGGTAAGTCTGGCTCCAAGGACAACATGTTTGGCTGCCACTTGAAGAGGACCTTGGTAAAATAGCTTAAATAGCCGTAGCTGTAGTGTACTGTTTGATTTACTGTGTTCATGAACGTGTCAATCAATTAGGCAAGAGTAAACTATGTAAGCACTAATTTGTTTTCACTAATACCACTCTAGTACTTCAGTCATCGAGTATATAACCAGAAGTTGAGACGAAATAAGGGCCATCCAGCCCTGGCAACTCATCAGGCAAATGGGCCTCATATCACTTTTAAATATCAACTCTCGTTTGCACTGAAATCACAAATTAGAATGCTGAAATAGTACAGCGCCAACAACTGACCTGTGTGTAAGTCTCCGTATATTTCAAAAACATTCTATGTTTATTGTAATAAAGATAATATCTCTAACTATGGGGGGCTGTTCCGTACGGTGGTGTGGGAAAAACAGCAAAACATCTAATTACAAAACAAACGAAATCACATTTCATCGGTTATGAAATACGTAATTTGTCATCTTTCGTCCATTATAGCAAAGCTCAAGTTAAGCTGGTCGATTTGAAGTGAAGCAGTTGACGACACACGTCAATTGTTTCGAATTCAGACTGGCTAATCGGAGCGCAGTTGTCACCGTAATGATTTGGCAGAATAGTTTTTAAACAAATTAATTAACATTTCATTTCTATTTCTGGTCATATATGTGATGATTTCAGTTTATAGTTTTAGTCCGTAAAAGACAGTAGATTTCATGAAAATAACGCTTATTAAACATCTGTTTTTTACGAAAACATCAGACATCAGATAATCTAGCAATTGTAAAGGTATGTTTTGAACTACGGTAGCTGCGGCGCGGAGCAACAGCAACCGCGGCTGGTCACGACTCATTTTGTACGCAATCCATATAGATTAAACCGTATTATTTTTTAACCTGGCAAGAATTGACTACACTTACAACCAAACTGTCAAAAATCAGGTTTGAGTAAGGGACAAGTTTTCAAATCAGAGCAAGAATAAAGACACTATCTTTATAATTATTTAATATAGATAGTTTTAAGCATTATTTTATATAATTGTAACTTTTTCCAAAAAAAGAACCGGCCCCAAATGTTATTAGAATTACATCTGTTTGCCAAGTTTTATTGAAATGGGTTACCGGAAAGTATGCGAAACCGGATTCATCCCCTAGTTTGCCATCCTTGGGGGTGGAATATTTTCTTCAAATTTAAATGGGATCAATACTGAGACACCCTCAATCCAACAAAAAAAGAACTACTTGGTACTTGGTTTAACAGGCTGGTGTCCGCAAAAAAAAATAACTATCGTAATCGGTTTACAAATGCCGGAGCAATCGTAATTTGTATACATACAAAAAAAAGAATTGAGAATCCTTTTTTTGAAGTCCGTTAAAAAGTGGACTTTATTTCAAGCATTTTGGTCTAAGACAACACCTCTTGGCTTTTAAAATGAAAAAGTTACGGCGTTTTATTTATTTATTCTTTGTATTTTTCTGTTCCTGTAAACCTGCACTTTGTCCCTTCCGAGGTACGATAACTGAGTTTAGACCATCGATAGATCTTAGAAAATAATTATCGTTTGTCGATGTGAATATATTTTATTACCTATGTCGTGAACCCTTTGCCCAAAATAAAAGCTTTGTGTTTTTTACAAAGAGGCGGATTACTTATTTGACTAATTTTTTCGGAAGGGTGTAGTCCCCCAGTGACCGCGTGTAGCAGCCCCACAAATTTGAAATGGATTGCTAATTTCCATAGGAAATGGTCTTCGCAGTCGCACGAGTTCAGATTATACCTTTACATTACAGTGCCAATGTTTTTGTATGCCAATGTCTTATTCAATATGATAATGTGTTTACTAAACGTACTTTGAAGGTAGTTGATTACACTGTATGATTTACAAAGAAAGGCGCCATCGGCGGCGGAGACTCGGCAGGCGACTGCGGCGACGAGCAGTCCAGCTCGTCGGACGACAGCGAGCAGAGCTCGGCCAGCGAGAGGAGCGAGGAGGACGCGCCGAGGCGGCGGGTCGTGCCCAGGCCCACGCCCCAGGTCACTAGGACCAAGTAAGTGTTCAACCTTTACAGCGCGGATGGTAGCTGCTGTACTTATTCGTTAGATAGATAATAAAAGATTTTGACGGCTATGTCCATTGTACGAGTCGTAAATTAGGTATTTCATTATTTAACCCAAATAAGTTGCTGATCGCGCGCATTGTCAATTTATTTAGGTTAATTAGTAAAATACCTAGACACTACTCGTATATTCTTAGAAAATGGCTGGGAATCAATAAACTGGGCTTGATCACGTGTTTGAGATTGGCTCCAAACTCGGAGCCTGTATCAGGGGGTCTACTCCCGTTCCTCGTGTCCCAAACAATTACTGTCAAATAGGTACTAAGTATTCGACCAAATAAAAAATGTCAAGTATGAAGCTTCATTCGCATCTTAACCAAACGTCTTGTTTTAGTCGAGTATTACTAATTTGACAGTAATTGTTTGGGACACGAAAGACGGGAGTAGACCTCCTGCTCCGTGCCCCCAAATGCTGAGCTATTTCCGACAAAAATAATATAATTATAATGGTGCTTATATACCTTGAATTGCTTGGCTAACATTAAAGGCGCGGTTGGGACCAAGTTTCTGTAATTATTTTTGTAACATTATTGTCTTGAAATAAGTAAAGAGTAGAACGCAAGTGTTGGTTGACATATTGTGTTCGCGATTGGCGCAGAAGCAGCAAGCACTCGCGGCGGTTGTCGGGCCGGCAGTGGGTGTCGTCGCTGTCGCTGCGCAGCAACCAGGACACGCAGCGGCGCTTCGAGGAACGCGCGGCGCGCCAGATGCGCTCGGCCCTCGCCCGCCGCGCGGCCCCGCTGCCGCACCCCGCCAAGGCCAAGACCCCGCCGGGTAACCCGAGCGGCTCTCTTTCTTTATCGCACCAGGCTGCTTCGTAGTTGACTGTGCCCGGTCAAACGTGTTGAAAGCAATGGGTGGGCCGGACAGTCCCTGCGGTCTACGCCACTGACTTTAAACAAAAAGAACTTATTTCTTCTAAAATGTTATATTGTCTATGGTCCTTTTAATAATAATAATTTGTATTCGCTCTGGACCTTTTGGAGGGAAGTGTCGTTTTTATTTTGACTTTCAATTATTTTGTGAAATCTAGTTTAAAGTGGAATAGGATAGTGCCTTAATCGAAGATTAAAACGCGAAATTATACGAATCTCGAACTAAAAAACCCGTATCGGCCCGTTCTAAGGAATCCCGAGTCAATCCAAGCACGCCGCCTCAAATTGCCTATCCTCTTTGTGGCGGCCATATTTACAGAAACATAATTAAACTTCATGTTTAGGCTGATGGCTTTGCCAAAACCTTAATAAAAAAAAAGAAAGAAAAATAATAATTTGCAGCGAAAAAAAATGACGGACTTTTGAAGTTAGAAACAGTCTTTGCAAAGATTATTTTTATTTTAAGTATACTATGAAGAAAATACGAAGAAAGAAATAGGTAGTGATGAAGAAAGTTTGAACCGTATTTTAAACCAAATTACAAAAGACTATCTTGAAAATTCCACTAATTAGGAATTAAAAGTTTTTGTTTAAAGTGACAATTCATGAAAAACGTTGACTGGTGAATTGTAACTAGGTCCAGTTTAATTTCATTATAATAATGCCTAACCGCATTCATCTTTACAAAGCCGTAATAAAATTATTGCTGTTAGGTTGAGATGTGTTGAGTGTGCCTATAGTTGTTTCGCTCTTTCCAATTTTTTTATGGTCACGATTTTCATGCGACATTCAGAGCTGTATTTTATAAGTAAAAGACAGGATTTTAATGAAAGGAGATTTGTAAAATTATGCCAATACCTTAGAATAATAACGCATAGAAATCTAGTCCACACACGCTAAGTGAGGCAAATTGAAGCGCTCCCAATGGGCCTACACGAGCGGGCGGGCCGTCAGTGCTCAAGGTCAACAGCTCAAGAATTTTACCTAAAAATGACGAAACGTGCGGTAAATTAGTGTAAAAATGCGTCAAACAAACATAAAATAGATACTAACATCACATTCCACAAGCAAGTAACGCGTTTCAACTTGTATTTTCATATAAATATTCACTAAAACCGAAAATTAACCTACTACCTACTAAAACTAGCCTACATGCATTACATGAATTTGATTTTTTTTTCACTTGTGACAGTTCGTTTGATATGAAACTATCATTCGTTATTATTCTAAGACCAATACATAATTAATTTTTGATATTTCTTTTCTAAATGTTATCTTTTATACTTTGATACCGCACGGACTTTTTGGCCAACCCGAAGATTCCCACCAGTGGGGATTTGTGGATCTTACCATTATTTTGGTGTTATTTAATTATTATAGAAGCAATTTTTATAATAATTAGTGGCAGGTGGTCAATAATGAGAGAGTGGGTTTAGAGACGTGCGCTGTTGCAGGCGGCGTGTACGCCCGCCTGGAGGCGGAGTGGCGCGAGCGGCACGGCCAGCAGCGGCCGAGGAACGCCGTCTCCGCGCGCCCGCGCAGCAACAAGTTCAAATAGCACGCGCGCACTACAATACATTGTACTTTGTGTTACACCGACTTTTATTCCAATCCTATCCATAAAAGCGAATGTCGAATCTATAATTATCTGTCCTGTTCCGAACAAGGGCAAGATTGCTGCAGTCTGACGTGTAGATAAAATAGACCGGTCATATAATTTTAGAAAGTAAAATAAAATAAAAGTATTTGCTGAATTTACAATTCCAGCAGACCCTTGTTTTTGTAAATGTTTTTATTGCATTGTGTAAACTTCATTCAGTCTCGTCCAAGGAGCATTTGCGTTGCTCTACACTAAATCTATGGCGATGGCGTTGCTCTATGTTCTGCCACATTAGCCCAATGAAGATTGGGAACATCCAAGGTTTATTCCTCCTTGGATGTGCAGGTTTCATCACAATGTCTTCCTTATTTTGTTATTACAATTAATGTGTATTATAATTTCGTCGTCTCACTCTCGATATAACATTTAACCTTAGAATAATAACGCATAGAAACCTAGCCCGCACACGCTAAGTGGGCAAGTTAAAGGCTTCCCAACGGGCTCCCAGGAGCGCGCGGGCTGT